AGCGTCTAAGAAAATAATAAGCTTGAAAGCAACCTACTCCTATGTGTCCTCTCTCTCAAATTTCCTGTAGAGGGCTCCTCCTCCCCTCTCATCTCCATTTTGTTAATTGTTTTCTGATTTAAACCTTGCAGACCCTCTATGACATTCTTGCTCAAACAAGACTGATTAGTACTTTGTCTGTAGCAATATATAAAATTAACTAACTCTCATCAACAAAGTTACAATGTCACATAGTAAATTGCTATGCTAATCTGGTGGCAATGCTAATTATTCTTTGTATAATTAAGTGTATTTTAATAAAGGAGACTGATTTTGAAGCTTTCAAGGTTTGTGAATCATTATATACATTTTTCTAGTACTTTTCCAGAAAGGGGAAAATGATTCCATGCTTTTTCTTATTTGTACCCAAAGTGTATTTTTTGGCTTTAGGAATATTTTTTTCCAAAGTTTCATGTTAGTTTTACACAGCATCAATTCCTGAACTCAAAATATCACTGCTGTCTACTATGTCTATATTATAAACATACTTTTAAAAGTGTCTTAATTTTAAACTCATTATATCTAAATGTTATCTAAAGCAAATAGAACAGTCACTAATTTTTTTTAGGATGTTTACTCAAACTACAAGCTAAAGCATAGTTTCATAGTAGGTAGGGTCAGAAGGGACCTGAGCAGATCATGAGGTCTGACCCCCTGCCATGGGCAGGAAAGAATGCTGGGGTCAAATGACCCTGGCTAGGTGATTATCTAGCCTCTTTTTGAAAACCCCCAGGGTAGGAGTGAGCACCACTTCCCTTGGAAGTTGGTTCCAGATCCTAGCCACCCTGACTGTGAAGTAGTGCCTCCTGATGTCTAGCCTGAATCTACTCTCAGTCAACTAATAGCCGTTATTCCTTGTTACTCCCGGTAGTGCTCGGGGGAACAGGAACTCTCCCATTGCCTGCTGGTCCCCCTTGGCAAGTTTATAGATGGCCACCAGATTGCCTCTCAGATTTCTCTTGTGGAGGCTGAACAGGTTCAGGTCCAGTAGCCTCTCCTCGTAGGGCCTGCCCTGCTGCCCCCGATCATGTAAGTGGCCCTCCTCTGGACCCTCTCAATACTGTCCACATCCCTCCTGAAGTGCGGTGCCCAGAACTGGACACAGTACTCCAACTGCAGCCTGACCAATGTTACATAGAGGGGGAGGATCACCTCCTTGGATCTACTTGTGATGCTCTGTGGATGCATCACAAGGTGCGGTTAGCCTTCCTGACCGCTTCCTCACATTGTCGGCCCATGTTCATCTTGGAGTCAATAGTGACTCCAAGATCCTTTTCTGACTCTGTAATGATGAGAAGGGAGTTCCCCAGCCTGTAGGTATGCTGCTGGTTCTTCCTCCCCAGATGCAATACCTTGCACTTGTCAGTATTGAAACCCAAGCCATATTTTTTCAATTGGCAGATTCCACAAAGGTATTAAACTTGTGAGAGAATATGAGTTAATTTTTCCATAATTCTATTTTAATGGCTCAAAGATTTACCTAACTTGGAAACATTCAAGGAATAAAGTAGGAAAAAGCAAAGAATATTTCAATGTTATACCTTGGCAGAGACTACGGTAATTAACAGGAAACACTGTACTACACCAGGATGTCACAGAGACAAGTAAAGTACAAATCTTCCTAAACATACCTTCCAACATGGATCCTCATTTGCTAGCATATGAAAGAAGGGCAGAGAACAGGTTAGTGGGCAACACATCAGTGTAGCAATGTCAATTCTCAGCTATGGAGTAATTTTAGTTAAGCTGAGGTACAAGTGAAGATGAAAGGTGGGGTCATAGCAAAAACTAGTTTAACATCCACAGGGAAGAGTGACATAGCAGCTACAAAGCACATTTTTATGTTCATGGTTATATGACTGTTCCTCTGATTTCAAGAATTATGCACCTAAAATCTAAATGCTGAAAATGCTAAAATACCACAGTATCATAAAGACAATTTGTATTGACAAGAAATGCCCATACTGTATTTGTTAGGAAAGTCTTTAAGAGCTTGAACTTGCTTGGCACTAAACATTTTGGCCCTGATCCAGCAGAGCACTTAAGCATGTGTATACAACTAGGTGTATATAATCAGGACCACTAAGTTAAGCATCTGTTTAAATGCCTAAGTGATTTGTGGCCAAAGCATGCAGCATTTGGAAGAAGCGGGCTTTAAATGATCATAAAATCTCTGCTATCAATAGTGCCTTGGGTTCAAGGGGATAGAAACATCTTTCTTTGGTTCCTTAAGTTCTTATTTAAATCACATATTATCTGACACGTGCCTATACATACATGATGACCAGAACTGGATCACTTATCATATCTCACTTATATAATATGCATCTATGTTTTTTACATTACACATTCACTTTTGTTGAGTACACTTTTTCCATCTCTGTATGACATGTATATATACAGATACATACCCCCCCACCCATGCACAAATTATTCAGACTGAATTAATAGCACAAGTTATTATTTGCGTATTTGAGGAGTATTTTATATAAGTGATGTACATCACAGAAGGCAACCTCATTTCAGCTGAGATATTTTCCAATCAATGAAGTCTGAATCGGCATTTTAGAGAGAATATCGGAAAAAAATCTCTTCTTGTTTCTAAATGTTTCTTCATGTTTTCTTTAAAAAATACATTTCTTAAAATTCCCTTTTCAGTTCACTTTTATTGTTATACTTTCAGCTACATTCAATGCTTGCTTTTCTCTTCTATGTATGCTTGTGTAACAGGGGGCCTGCTCGGGGCCGACTTCCCAGTGGCCCGCCCACCTGTTCCTGGGCTAACTGCCCGCGCTCTCGCCCACCACGCCTTGTTGTTAATTAGTTAATTTAGAAGTTAATAAGTGGGAGGCTGCCCATTTCCTGCCCCAATGCCAGGCGGCACTATCTGCGGCTCCATTCCTCCCCTACACCGCAGCCCAAGCCTCACAGATGGCATCTAGATGTTCTCATCGTCACCGGCCCCTCACTCTGGGCCCTAGAATCCTACAGATTGAACCCCAACCTAGAATCTTCTCATCAGGTGTACTCTTCTGCCATCATACCGGGCAACATAGCTCCCTGAGCTGATTCCCTTTCGGGTGTGATCCCCGCACCAGGACCTTCGGCTACTAGCCCTGGCCCACCTCCAAGCCAGTTGGAACCCCAAGCCCTCAGCTCTTGGGCATTCCTCATGGTGGGCCTGACCCTTCGACCCTTACAGTCCTGGCCCCAGCATGGGCCAGTCAGGGGAAGTTCAGACAGGCCCTGAGTCAATGCCCTTACTCTTCTTCATGAGGTCCACCTTCTCAAACCCTCCAACAAAGGGGTAACCCACCCGGTGGTGGGAGCTGGGGTTAAGGCACCCCGACCCAACTTTCACCAGGGTGGTAACTGGCCTGGCATTTCCTGGGGGCTCCTGTTCCACTGAGAGCCCCACCAGGCCACCCACTCCCAGCAGGGTGCAGTTTTAGGTCATGCCCAGGACCAGGAGCCTCCTATTCATCCCCTACAGCTCCTCCCTTACCTCCAGATGATATCAACAGCCCTACCAGCCAGGTGGTGTTGTTGCTTGGCCTCCAGCAGCAGAACCGCCCTGCTTATATGGGCAGCCCTAGATTCAAAATGGCTGCCCTCATCAGGCACCTGCCGGTTGCTGCCTTCTGGTGCTTAAAGTGGCAGGCACCAACAGTGTCCTGCCACATACCTCCCCACTTAGCTGTCTACACTGCCTCCCACAGCCTGTTCTTCCAGCTCCTCATAACTACCAGCCACTAATGGTTTGTCATCTGTCTACTCCCCTTCCAAATAAAACTATGGAGACAGAGAGAAAAGGGAGGCAGCATGAAGAGAATTCACTGAAAAACTAACAGGAAAACAGCCAGGGATTTATAGGGAAACACAGTCCTCTGATAATGCAAATTATAAAGAAAAATGCATTTAGGTTAGTATAAGATGAATAAGGAGACTGCAGTTATAAACTGCATGAAAGGACAGCAAACACAACTTTACAAGTTCAATGAAACAACACTTAGTTCCTTCTAGTGCTTGGCAGAAAAATTTCCTGTTGAAAAATGAAGAACGTTTCTATGATCACCTATATCTGAAGCACCACTGTGTGCATTACCACAAACTAAGTCACAGAGACTGTATCAAGTGTGGAGCTATTCAAACTCTGTCACTAGCTTCCCTCCTCTTCTGCAAAGTAATCAAATATCTCATCTTGTCATTCAGAATTCTGTGCAGCTCTGTTGTGTCTGTCTTCCCCCTATATGCCCTCTCAGGCACTCTCCTTGTTCCTCTTTCCCATCCTTAGCTCTAAGTCTTTTTCTCACACTGTTGCTTATGTTTGAAACAGGCTTCTTCTCACAAGTAACTGTAATTCTCTTCACCAAATTTATTATCTGAAGGATCAACTCTCATGACATTTATCATGGAGCTGTGTAACACGGGAGTGTTGGGGGTGGGGGGTTGGTTAGGAACACAACACAAGAAGGGGCCCTACTTAAAGCCTCATGTCCTCAAGTGATTATGCATAAATTGCAGCTTCATTTTTTAAAAGAAAAGTTCCTACAGCAAAACTGGAAAATGTGATCCCTTAAAGATGAAAACAGAGAGTAAATGAAAGTACCAGAATTTTTATTATTTTATTTTTTAAATCTAATTTTTAAACTAATATCATATTTTTGAGCACTTGGGTTAAGCAATACCATCCCCTTAATCACAGGTGACTGGTAGGGGGGCACGGGGGGGGACATGTGCCCCCCCCCAAGATTGGACCCCAACTTGGCACCACTCAGGACGGGGCAGTTTTTTTACTGCGTGGGCCAGCGGAATGTTGGGAGGTGGGAGGGGGGCGTAAGCTGTGGCACAGAAGTATAGGAGTGGATATGGGGATTTTGGCCCGCCTCTGGGCCCACCCACAAATTGTGCCCCCCAGACTCAGGAGGCACCAGTCACCCCTGCCCTTAACATCCACTTCCTTCTACCTATCTCACTACTCTGTAATAACTACAATTGCAGGCTTTCCATTGATTTCAAAGGCTCAAGCTGAATAGGTTTTTGAAATTCTTGCCTTATCCTTTAATTGTTTTGCAGTGTAATGATCTATTGTGCATGCTCCAAGGGATGGGAGCCATGTATAGCTATGAACTATGTACTGCTTTAGGAGTAATTCATAAGAAACACCACTAATAAATATTTAACACCATATCATAATTGTTGTGTAGTCATTTAAAAAAATACTTACCTCTTGCAGAAAGGAACAAGGGATTATTCAAATAATTTGATGCAAGGCGTTTCCGCTGCAAAGAAAGAGAAAAGAGACTATGTTGTCAGCTGAAAAGCATTTTCTTTTCTCTCACTCTTTTGTGCCAACAGTCTCTAAGGAACTTCTTCCATATCCATAATCAAGGATTCACAAGCTAATTCTATGATTTAGAATTCAACTGCTTAAGTCTTTTCAGTTGGTCATTTAGAATGTACACAGCTACATAATTTATCTTTCTAACACATTTTTCATAGACCAGCTTTATGTGCATTAGGTTTCATTAAGAGGAGGTAGATGCAAATCGTAAATGTTATTGATTGGACCTCCAGAGCAGTTCCTGGGATCTGTAGTACAAGGAAACAGTACAAAAAAGACCCTCACAACCCAGCATTCAAATAACTTTCATAAAAGGAAAATGCAAATAAAACTGTTGCTGTGAGATGCCACTTTTATTAGTGCTGACAGAAATAGTGATGGACTTTTCACCAGAAGAGAAATTATTTTTACTGGCTTGAAAATTATCTACAGGCAAATTTTGTTTGAAGGCTGCCTACTAGGGCTCTAGTAAAATATTTTCTTCCAAAAGTTAATGTTCACCACCTTTAGGATTTAGAGGCATTTCAGTTTGCTAAGGATGTCCATGAAAATTCCTAATCTATAAACATGTGTCTATTAGAAACCTGATTAAGATAATCAACTAGTTTCACATAGTCCATTGCTCATATGATAACAACTATTGGTCTCTAGCAACCAGGGCTGGATTCAAATCAGTGATCTAGGCTAGGGACAGACATTTAAAAAGACCAAGCCTGAATTGATTCAGTCTTTGTAGGTTAGTCTAACCTGCATTGATTGAACTGATTTGCAAGTGAATAGGCATTCACTTTTGATTCAGGAAATGCAGGCACATGCCTACAGTGGCTCAAGCTAGAAACCAGGGAGGACACTACAGCGAGCCCTCCCTTCCCTTCTGCAGCAGGTGCAAGGCTGGAGGAAAGCTGACCTGGGGGGCATGGCCCTTCAACAGGCTGCTAAGTATGATTGGGGAGGAGTTTAAATCCACACCTTGGCATACAGGGACCCCAGCTGGTGTGTGCCTAGAATGGGAGGGGGGAAGCAGCCCTTGCCAGACACCAGCCTGGGCAGCACCACAGATGAAGGGTGGCAGGGAGGGGGATTAAACTTGCCTGTCTCCCCTATCAGACATGGGCAGGGGACCCCAGCTGGGGTCTGCCCAGCTTTTCCCCCTGCTCACCACTCATGTGGTGCGGGGCCTGTGCAGAGCTGGCTAGCATGGCCCTGCCATCCACCCAGGGCCGAGGCTGGGGCTGCAATGCTGAGACTGGGGCTGGGCTGTGGGGCTCAGGCTGGGGCTGGCCCTGTGACTACAGGGCTGAACTGGGCCAGCCCACAGGTACTGCTGAGGGTGGATGCAGAGGGGCCACCCCAGGCTGAGGCCATGGGAGCTGTGTGCCCATATTGCTCCCAGCTCCCTGCACCCAGCCTGAGTGGGGCTGTCATGGAGCGACAGCTCGCTGGGAAGGGCCTGGTGGAGCTGTCCTGGGCTGGGCTGCAGGGGCAGGGTCCTTACCAGCTAACTGTGGCTCCATGACAGCCTGGCCCACATAGGTAGTGGCTGGCCAGATAGGGGTGTAGAGGTGATGCTACTATAGCTGCAGGCAGGCACCTTGGCAGCCAGACTGGGCATGTGGGATGTGTTAATCATGCCTGTGGCTGCCTGGGCCAGCTAAGAGGCACTGGCAGGCCCGAAGCCCAGCAGCCACCCACTGTAGGGGCTTCTGTGCCTGCAGCCACCACTCCTACCACACCCCCTTTCTGTCACTGTGCAGCATCTGGCCGGCTGCAGCTGCACCAGAAGCTGCATGCTAGCCAGAACCAGCAGGGCTGTTCTGCCTCTCTTGCCTCCAGCTGCCACTGTAACTGCCACCTCTGCCCCTGACAAGCTGCTCTGGGTGGGTGGGCAGGAAGCTTCAGCCCAGCAGCTTCTGCCCAGCGCACAGTGGTCTGGCTCCGGCTCTGGGCCACCTTCCATGCACTCCATCTGCCTGGCATGATGAGTAGCCCCTGCAGGTGGGCAGAGCAGGTGGAAGGCAGCTGGGAGCTCAAGCCAGATCTCCATATGCTGGGCAGAAGCCACCAGACTGAAGCTTCTAACACACCTGCCACCTGGCTGGAGCCAAAGGGAGCACAGCAGCACCTAGCCAGCGGCAGCTGCACTGGGAACAGTCCCACTGGAAGCTGTGCATAGGCTAGGGCTAGCAGGGATGTTCTGCTCACCTCACATCCAGCTTCTGCCATGCCATGCTGTTCCAGGCAGGTGGAAGCTTCAGCCCTGGTGGCTTCTGCCAGTGCATGGAAATCTTGCTCCAGCTGCTGGCCACCTTCCACCCACTCTACCCACCCACAGGGGCTGCTCATCATGCCAGGCAGCTACACCTCCATACACTGGGCAGAAACCTCTGGGCTGAAGCTTCCTGCATGCCCACGCAGAGCGGCATGGCAGGGGCAGGTGTGGGAGCAGCAGCAGCAGCAGCAGCAGCTGGAGGTGAGGAAGGCAGAACAGCCCACCTGCCCCATCCAGCATGCAGCTTCTGGTGCAGCTGCAGCTGGCCAGCTGCTGCACAGTAATGGATAGGGGGTGCAATGGCAGCTGTGGGCACATGAGCCCCTGCAGCGAGCAGCTGCCAAGCTCCAGGCTTGCCTGTGCTTCCAAGCCATCTCGGGAAGCCATGAGCACAATTAAGATGCCCTGTGTGCCCAGTCCAGCTGCCAAGGTGCCTGCCCCATGGCCTGGCCTGGACCAACCCCACCAGGCTCTTCCCAGCCAGCTGTGGCTCCATGACAGCTCTGCCCAGCCTGGGTGTTGGGAGCCAGGAGCAATCTGGGCACGTGGCTCCTGCGGCCCCAACCCAAGCATCAGCTGGCTGGGAAAGGCCTTGCCCCCACAGCCCAGTCTGGGCTGGCCCCTCTGCACCTGCCCTCAGAAGCGGCCATGGGCCAGCCCAGCTCAGCACCCCAGCCCCAGCCTCAGCCGCAAGTGAGGCAGGCAAATGGCGGAGCCATGCCAGCCAATTGGCTCTGGCCATGACCCTGCCCCTGCTGCTGTAGCAGCGAGGCGGGGGTACCCTGACAGGGATCGCTCCACTGTGGCCAGGCAGACCTTGGCTGCAGTCCCCAGGGGAGAGGGGAGGGAGAGGGGACTAAACCCCCTCCCTGCATCCTTAGCCTTAGGGCGCCATTCTGGCCACACCCCTGCCTCTGTTCCGGCCAGAAAGCAGAGGGGCAGGGCCAGCCCTGCAGACAGCACAGCACAGCCCAGGGCTGAAAAGCATGCTGGGGAACTCTGGTTTAACTTAAACCAGGAAGGGGTCTTGGACAGAAGTTCTATAAACCAGTTTGACCCAAATAAGTTAAGTCTGATACTACATTCAATTGGGTTTATCTTAATCCAGGTTTGGCCACTTTGAAACTGGTTTATGTGCACTGAACTTCTGTTCTGTTATAGGTTTAAACCAGTTTCTAATCACTTAAACTGGTTTATGTGTAACTTCTGTCCCTAGGCCTAGAGACTGGAGGTCTCTATACTGCATAACTACTCTTCTGAGTCACCCAATTACTGAACAGTAAGAGTGTAAAGTATACTGTACTCCTCCAATACATGTCATTCACTGTTTCTTGAGAATTAGAGGGGTATTTTGCTAATACAAGATTGATTTGGTGGTGAGAAAGCTGCTCTCTGATGTTCTGCTCTTAGGACAACACTAGTTACTGAAATTCTGTTAATGAATTTTCTGTATAGAATTTTTCCTTCAAAAACTTCCAGCCTGAAACACATCCCCTTTTCCTTCCTCTTCTCCCTCCCTCCCTCCTCCCCCACCCATCCCAACATATCTTTAAAAACTAAACTACCCAGGGTGGAAGAATGGAACAATTTCTGAACAGCATAAAGAGATAAAAGCTTCCATGTAGAGAATTTAACTGAAAAAACACAAGTCTAATTTAAAATCACAATTGTATATTCATAGTCAAGAAAGTTAACAGCACAGCAGTTTCTTTGCTCCTACAGCTGAGGGGAGCAAATAAAAAGTGTAATTTATATGCAAGTTCAGTTTAAACAATCATGAATTAAAGATCATCTACTATATCAGCCATAAATTAAACTGAGCCAAAATGCCTAAAACACCACAAAATACCTGAACTCACTGATCAGCAAATAGATCTGAGCAGCTAATTGATCAGAGGAAAACCATCTGCCTGTATTTTATCTGAATGACGTTCCCTATGGTCAGTGTTTAATGACAGCACTTAATGAGGACAGAACTGATCAGCCACATGAGCTCTAACTGAAAGACTCTTTCTGCATGCTACTCATCATTTCAAGATATACTTTGGAGAACAGGTCTAATGAGAACTGTAAACTACAGCATGACAAATCTATTTAACCCCTCTACTAGTTTCTTCAAATAGTTTCTCAAAAATACTTAAACATTAGAACTACCAAACTGCCACAGAATTTTTACACAATTTGGCTGCGTAATACAAATGAGAAACACCACGTATGTAATCTAACTAGGACTGTGGTCCAAAGTGTGCTGAATATATGTATTAGCCAGAGACTGTGCCTGCCCTGAACAGCTCACTATCTAATGGTTTAAGTAGACAGTGAGATTAGGAGAAAAATATATCTTTGTAAAATGGGGTAACAGAGGCAAAAAACAGATTAAGTGATTTGTCCAAAGTTACAAGTGAAGTTTGCATTGGACCTAAGAAACTGTAACAGGTTTCTTAAATTCTCTTCTGTTGTTGTATCCCACAAAGTCAATCTTCCTCACAAATAAATGGTCATGTCATTAAATAAACTATCTACCTCTCTACAAACCAGTTAGTTCCCTTTTTACCTCAACTACCTCTCCCCTACCAAAGTAACTTGAATTTTCAGAAAGCTGGTAAATCAACAATTCTGCATCGCTGGTAATTTGCTAAGGAAAGTCACTCGCCTTAAGTTTACCATGCACAGGAAGCTAGGAAATGTTTCTTCCATGTAGAGTTGCTTGCAAATCAGTAATTTCCATTCTGAAAGTTTTGAATTTTTTTATTCAAGCTAATATTTAAAAAATTTTGGTGGAATTAAAATTTATAAATTTAAATTCAAAACCACCAAAACATTTTGCTTCAATAATGCTATATCTTTTCACTTCACTAAACTTGATTAATTTAGAATTTTACAATCAAATGTAACATGGCAATTACATTTCACAAGCAGACAAAATCATGATAAAGTTAAAAACAATTTTTATATTATTGAAATGATAATCAAAAAACATTTTTCCCTTTTTCCCATTAAAAAAATTACTGAAGTCAGCTTTGTTTCATAGTTTAAAAGTTGAAGAAACTTGTATTGTTTGATGAAAATGGAAACAGCTGTATCAAAACTTATTTTCCAACCACTTGACTTATATACCTCCTTTTATACCTAAGTTCTGATTCCAATGCTAGACAAGGTCCATAGTTTTTTAATCCTTGTGAAGCCCCACTTAAAATAACTCGGGTATAAAAAAATAAAAGAGTTTAGCCATAAGGGAGTTTATATATGTGCTCTGGGAGTGGGGGTGGGGTGCTTTAGTTAGAGCCATTCAGAGCCACTCTAATTAAAATGCCCAGAGCATGATGTGTATCAGCATCCAGTCCAGCATTCCTGTGCTGAAAAATGGCAGTGGGCGCACTTTTACTAAATCTTGTCGAACAAGCTTTAGTTAAAGCACCCCCACTGCCATTTTTCAATGTGGGGATACTGATACTCATGACACTGGAATCTGCTGCAGTTCAGTAATTACCATACTCCAACAGACTCATTTAATAGTTACATTTGATTACAATGTGTTAGAGCAGCCTCACTGCACGTGGATAGGTGCACAAGACTTTGATTTCAGAGTTCTTTACTGTCAGCATGACTGTTGGCATTTTAATGAATTTCAGTGCTCATAAAACAGGCTAAACTGACTTATCTGAAAAACAAAACCCTCTATTTATTCCCTGATATGTGTGACATGAGGAAAAGCTATGCCGGTTTCAACATTCTGCCACCACTGTTCTTCAGTTCTGATTTACAGGGACCATTCTCTACCGGTAAGAGAGTAATTAAGTTTTACATTAATTTAGACTTTATTGGCATTGAAGAACTAAGTCACGTTGTGATGTGAAAACCTGTTGCCTAGAAACTGGAATGAAGCATGTTTCCAT